CGCCGGGGGAGGCTTGGGGTAAGTCCCGCTGCCGCCGGCCGAGAGCGGTTCGGGGAGACGCTGCAGACGCCTGCGCCGGGTCAGGGCCCACCCTCTTCTTCCGAGGGCGGGCCGGCCGGCGAGAGCCCGTCACGCACGGGACGGTCAGAGTCTGGTCCGAAGGCCCTTTTGCGCCTAAGCCTCCGGCTGGCGTTCGCTTCTGCCCAGGTGTGGGTGAGGAGGAACCGTCGCCACGCCTGGTTTCTCTGATACTCAGGAACGGTCGCTTTCTGCCAGAACCGAGGTGTAGCTGTTTCTTTGCCCCCGTGGGAAAAACCTGTTTGTAAAAACTCTGGAAGCGATTAACTTGAAACCCCGAATGCATACAAGCTGAACTGTCCACAAATGTGTTTGCAGATCGTGTACACGGGAGCGTAGCCCTGGAAACACTAAGACAGCAGCAGGCTCGGCTGCAGCAGTGGAATGAGCATCACGCCTGTCTCAGTCAGGGCAGTCTTCCATATCCCCACCACCATCATCCCCACCTCCAGCACCTTCCTCAGCCGCCCCTCGGGTTACATCAGCCGCCAGTGAGGGCAGACTGGAAGCTCAGCAGCAGTGGTGAAGATGAAGCAGAAACCACCTACTCCAGGTATCCAGGCAGACTCGAACGGCTTCTGGAGTGTGACACCCCCACGCCCGCTGTGTTCTTTTTGGATGTGGTCTTTGTAGCTTCAGGCTGGAATGCAGCCTCCAAGAAATTGGATTCTGGCCTTCCAGGCCCATGCTACACAGTTTCCTCGATTGACTCTGAAATGCGGATAATTTGTTGAGAAGTAACTCCTGCACAAATCTAAGTGTGCAGGCTCTACTGTGGCTTGTAAATTCACTTGGCCTCTTGCTTTGTGGTCTCTCCTGCAAGGGAAACATGCCATCACTTGGGCATTTTTTTCATATTCGACACTCAAAGAATGAATAAAGACAGAAACAAATTAGTGTTTAAAAGTTAAATTTTACAAATTTAATTTTCGTCTAGTGGTGCAGAATTCTACCTTTCTGTAATTATAGCTACTTGTGAGTGTTTGGTCCTAACTCTCAGCTTATTTTTATGGCCAGTGTCACATGTTACCTATGAACCATTTCTGAATCCCTTCTGAATAATGTCCACTGTCATGGTGACCTTTTATGACTTCTAGTTATCAAAGGCAGAAATCAGAGAATTTCCCTTCAGAGAAAAGGAAGAAATCAGATAATTGAGTATGTTTAATGTCTTCAATTCAGCGTCTATTTGAGTATGCTTACATTAGAGATTAATTGATGTTAGTTCTAATTATTGTTATTTTTTCCCTTTATTTTAAAGATGTGAGGTACAATTCAGGTTAGGTATACAAATGTTCATTATGCAGATACCCTTGTTGATGAGGTGTGCCCCTCCCTCCCCTTCCCTGGCATTTTCCTAATTGTTAATATTATGATTTTGTTTGTAGAAGTTACACATGTAGTTGACTAAGTTCTCCTTAATGTAATGGAGGCTTTCTTGTGTTTTCTCCTTACATTTCATCATTTTTATGTAGGTTTCAAGACTTAATCAGAGAACTATCTCATCGGGATCAAAGTGAAACCCGGGAACTAGCTGAAATGCCCCCACCTCAATCGAGACTTTTGCAATATCGACAAGTGCAGACAAGGAGCCCACCAGCAGTCCCTTCTCCCCCTTCCAGTACAGACTACAGTAGCCACTTTTCTAACTTTAATGACAGCAGCAGAGACATTGAAGTAGCCAATAACCCAGCATTTCCGCAGCGCCTCCCGCCCCAGATATTCAACTCTCCGTTCTCATTGCCTTCTGAACACCTTGCCCCTCCTCCCTTGAAATACCTGGCACCCGATGGAGCTTGGACTTTTGCCAACTTGCCACAGAATCACCTGATGGGGCCAGGTTTTCCTTATGGCCTACCTCCATTGCCTCACAGGCCACCACAGAATCCTTTTGTACAAATACAGAACCATCAACATGCTATCGGTCAAGAGCCATTTCACCCATTGTCATCTCGAACAGTATCTTCTTCTTCGCTCCCTAGCTTAGAAGAGGTAAATGTCTTTCTTCTTATTCGCCTTTTTTTAAATTTGGGGAATAGTTGACTGTGGAAAATAATGATATTTGTGAATTTGATAATAGTGGACAGATTTTATTGAATTTAGTAACCTTTTAAAGATCAACCTTTCTTGAAATTATTTTAATTGCCCCCCTCTTATTGTGGTATTTCTGATTTTGTAAAATGGTCACTATCATTGAAACGTGAAGCCTCTTAATTAAGAGTCTTTTATTGCTGTTTGGAACATTGAACATCTGAGGACTCTGTTCAAGCAGCTTTGTCTTTCCTAATCTAAGGAAATGATTTTCAGTGATTCGTTCTTCACTTGAAGTTACATGTGTTAGCTGCACACTTCGGCCAGGGCCAGGCCCAAGTGCCGGGCCGCTGCTCCTCCTGCCACTCATGTCGGGTCTCGGTGGAGTAACCTGCATGCAGCGAGACTCTGATTCCGCCTGTCAGAATCTTCAGGTGTTCAACATAAAATGGAACCTAAGCTAAGCACTTCGAGGCAGACTGAATTTTTGTCTTGAAAGACTTATGTATTTCCAAAGAGCATCTTTGTGGACCTGTGTTGATATGAAAAGCTTAGTAATCTCTAGGTTATAAAACTTCCAGAATAGGACCGTTTGGTGCAGACTGCACAGATGTCTAGCAGATTCCATCAAGTTTGCAGTGATTAAAGATAAGAACGTGCAAAGCTAGTTGTGATCATTGTCAATCAAGATATCTTCTTAAAACAGGATAAACATTTTGAATTTTGGTAAATGAAAAAAATTTTTTTGATGGTAGCATAATTTTGGCTGTTCTAAAATGATTTCTAAAGGCCATGAGAAATACTTGATTTGCAGACTTTACAAGTTCTCTGCTAAAGATGCTAATTAAAAGTTGTTTCATAGGGAAAGTTATTGTAAGTGTAGCGTTTTAGAGGTAATTTGTTAAAATTGTTCCAATATTAATTGATTGACTCATTCTGCAAAATAACTGCCATGAAAACAACTTACTGCTATTTTAGACTCCTAAAGTAAGTTACAAGCATAATAAAGATGAATTGATATCTGTATATATGTATGTGAAGATCTAGGATTTTGGAGCCATACTTTGCAGAGATTTGATACACTTCTGACATTATTTCAAATTATCATGAGTAATAGCTTTATAACTGAGTGGTCATATAACTTATAGTTAAGTAATGTTTTATTCATGATAAAATTCACATAATATAAAATTCTCCACTTCAAGTGTACAGCTTAGTGGATTTTAGTCTATGAACAATGGCACATGGACTTTTGCCAAGTTGCCCCACAGACTCACCTGATCGGGCCAGGTTTTCTGCCTTCCTCCATGCCTCACAGGCCACCACAGAACCCTTTTGTACAAATACCGAACCATCAGCATGCTATCTATCGGTCAAGAGCCATTCTGCCCATTGTACAGCTGTCAGCTGCTATCTAATTTCAGGGCATTTCATCAGTCTTAGAAGAAACCCCATAACCATTTACATTTATTCCCCAGTCCTCCAATTCCCAGCCCCTAGGACCACTAATCTACTTTCTGTCTCTATGGAGATACTTCATACAAGTAGAATCTACATTATGTGGCCTTTTGTTCCTGGGCTTTGAAATCCATCCACACTGTAGCACATATCAGCAGTTCTTCCTTTTTTATGGCTAAATAATACTCCATTGTATAGATATACTGGTTTGTTTATTCATTAATTGGTGGACGTTTGGGTTGTTTTCATCTTTTGCCTATTATAAATAATGTTGCCATGACCATTCTTGAACAAGTTTTTGTGTGAAAGTATATTTTCAGTTCTCTTGGATAGAAGTGGAATTCCCAGGTCTTACTGTAACTCTATGTGTTTAACTTTTTGATGAAATGCCAAACTTTTCCCCAGTTCCCTGCACCATTTTATTATTCCCACTAGCACTACATGGAGGTTCAATTTCTTCACATTCAATTTCTCTCCTTTTCTTTAATTATAGCCATCTTAGTGGGTATGAAATGGTATCTCATTGTGGTTTTTACTTGCACTTCCCTAATTCCTAAGGTGTTGAGCATATTTTTGTCTACTTATTGACCATTTGTACATTTTTTTGGGAGAAATGTCTATACACATGCTTCAGCCATTTTTAAAAATGGTTGTCTTTTTGCTACTGAGTTATGAGAGCTTTTTGTTTGTTCTGGATGCTAGGCGCTTAATCTTCTATATGATTTGCAGATATTTCACTCTGTGGATTGTCTTTTCACCTTTTTGATAGTGTCCTTTGATACACAAAAGTTTTAGATTTGAGTAAAGTAAAATTTATCTACTTTTTCTTTGGTTATTTGTGCTTTTGTTATCATCCAAGAAATTGTTGCTGGATTTCTTCTAAATTTTCTTCTAAGAGTTTTATAGTTTTATCTTTTCTACTTTGTTCTTAGATCTGTTTTGAGTTAATTTTTATCCATTGTGTAAGGTGGGTGTCAAATTCATTCTTTTGTGTGTGGCTATCCAGTTTTCTTAGCTTCATTTGTTGAGAAGACTCTTCTTTACTCATTGAGTGGTCTTGGTAACATTGTCAAAAATCAGTTGATTGTAGATGCTGGGTTTATTTCTGGATTCTACGTTCTTTTCCACTGACCTGTACAGCTGTCTTTATGCCAGTCCCACACTGTCTTGTACATTGTAGCATTGTGGTAAAGTTTTAGAATAGGATGTGTGAGTCCTTCTACTTTGTTCTTCTTTTTCAAGATTGTTTTGGCTATTTTTGGTCTCGTGAATTTTTCTATAGGAGTTTTAGGATCAATTTGCCAATTTCTGCATTAAAAAACCAACTGGATTTTTTTTTTAAAGAATTGCTTTAAATCTGTAGATCAACTTTGGGAATATTGCCATTTTAACAGTATTAAGTCTTTTAGTCCTTGAACATAGAATATCTATTTATTCCTATTTATGTAAGTCTTTTAAAATTTCCATCCACAGTATTCTGTAATTTTCCAAGTATAAGTCTTATGCTTCTTTTTCATGTAATCATAAATGGAATTGTTTTCTTAATTTCATTTTTGGGCTGTTCTTTGCTAATGTTTAGAACTATAACTGATTGTATATTGAACTCTTTATTAGCGCTAATAGGTTTATTGTGGATACCTTAGAATTTTTAAATAGAAGATAATATCAATAAAGAATGATAGTCTTAGTCTTCCTTTCCAATCTCAATGCCTTTTATTTGTTGGTATTGCCAAATTCTTGATTAAGTGTTTTCCTGGGTGCTGCAAGCTTTTTGTTCCCTAGGTTCCCAAAAAGTTGATAATGACAGCTTTTGCCAGTTTTGTCTTTGCTTTTGTGGATTTGATTTGGAATTTTTTACTCTACCATTTTGCTGATATCATGATGTTTTGATTTAACTTGCAAAATGAGTCCCTAATATGTGAGGAGAACTGTGTGCCAAAGGTTTTAACAGCTTATAAAGTTTTATAATACTTCATACTGAATCAATCTACTTTAATCACTGATCTTTTTGAATGGTCCTTAATTTTAGAATTTAAGATCTTTGCATCATGATGCTCTTAATATTCGATATTTCTGTTTATCTGAGAGTATGTGAATACGTACCTTCTATTGTCATTGGGTTCCTAGCATGAACTTACTTTTGTAAAAACATTTGGTCAAGTTAATTTAGAAGCATGAGATTCACAGAGGATGACTAACTTGCAACACTGGAAAACATTCTTTTATGAGGAGAAAATTATTTTTGCCACATTGCAGATTTTCACACTTTCACATTTTCAGTGTATTAGTCTTCCTTTCCAATCTGGATGCCTTTTATTTCCTTGTATTGTTTAATTCTTAATAAGTGTTCTCCTAGTTGCTGCAAGGAAAAGTTTTGTGTGTTCAAAATGATTTTGCATTAATCATCTTAAAGAATGAATGGTTTATGTGCTTGCTGTTTATTTTCAGTCTTTTAAAATAATTTTTTTGGTGGCTCATGCCTATAATTCCAACACTTTGGAAGGCTGAGGTGAGAGGATTGCCTGAGCCCACAGGTTTGAGACCAGCCTGGGCAACTTGGTGAGACCTCTTCTCTACAATAAATCAAAAAATTAGCCAGGCGTGGTTGCGCATGCCTGTAGTTCCAGCTACTTGGAAGACTGAGGCAGAAGGATCACCTGAGCAGGTCAAGGCAGCGGTGGCTGTGAGTATGCCACTGCACTCCAGCCTGGGCGACAGAATGAGACTCAGACTCAAAAAATAATAATAAAATACTTTTTTTTAACATTAGCAACACAGAAAAATGTCTTATTTCGCTCCATACTATGTATTCTTTTGTTGCCAGAAACCTTGGTAGATTAATCTTGTGGGATCATAGCTGGATGTTAGTTCAACAAATAACTTGTATAGAGATAGTTTTTCATTTTATGTTTCGGTAGTTTTTTCTTTTTGCCGTAATTTTGATTTGCTTTTCACAAATGAAATATGTGATCAGCATGGCATATATAGAAATTAGACAAATTACTTACAATTTCACTATACAAAAATAGCTACTGTAATATTTAGCCTTTCTTAGCATTTAGAGATATGAATGTGTGATTGATTCATGGAGCGGGATGAATTATTGGGGAAAATTGAAACAGTTTTCCCCCAGTTGCTATGCACACCTGTATCACTTCTGAATGAGATTTGACCCTATTCTGTAACCTCTTTTGCTACTTTCAATTTTTAGAATATTCTCATGTAGATCATTCAGGTTTAACTTCATGAGTGCTCCTTCACTACTTCAAAAGCAGTGAAAGCCATGGCCCTGGGCTGGGCTGCAGACCAGTACTCACTGGCAATATTGGTACATTGCTCCGATTTGATTTTAAATGCCAGTGGAATCTTGGGATTAGGATTTAATTTTTCTCCAGATATTTAGCCAGTTGTTTTCCTGTCTTTATTAAATTATTGCATTCTCACTAAATAGAAGTAGTGTCTTATCAAATACTTGATTCCATACAGTAGCACTGCATCATACT